TTGTTATTCAACCCTTGAAGTTAATTTCACATTGGGAGCAGTAGTCCCAATGCAGTGTGCACTAAGGACAGAAAATAGTTTGAGATCTCTCTCATTAAGTACAACATAATCCAAATCATATTTAGCTCTTAGTTTAGCAAGGAAGTCTGCAGCAGAGTCAGTTTCCCTGTAGATATGATTAAGGTGAACTTCAGGGATCCTCTTCATCAGGAAGCTGCAATTGATCAAAACACCCAATGAGTGAAGTTCAGCATTAGCAGTATCAAGAAGGGATTTTACAACAACAAAATCAGTTTCCACAATGAGTTTAGAAAATCCCCTCTAAATTCTATCAATTTAATTAAATGAGCCATGTTAGCTAGTTACCGCACCAAGTTAGAAAACCGTTATCACACAGTTGATAGGGGGACCAATTCAGCACCAAGTTGATGAGTTGAGGGACTCAAAGGGTGTCAAAAAATTTAGACTATTTAAACCAAAATCAAAAAGTTTAGGGAGAAATACCCTTTTCTTTTTCAAAAACCATCCCTTTTTATCTTTTGTCTTTTTACCTTTGGTCTTTTTTTTTTTCCCCATTTTTTTTCTTATTTTCATCAGTTTTTTTTTCTTTGAAAAGGGACAATTATCGCATTACATTAGTAATATTAAAATTATAAAAATCAAGACCTCATTTTTGGTACTTCAGAACGGCATCAAATATTAAGTTCAACTAATTAACGGAGAAATGATACCCCCAGCATGTCCCCAAAATCAAGACCTCATTGCATACCCGCTTACATTAATATCTGTTCATTTGAAAAGAGAAATCTGGTAGACTATATAATGATTCAAACTTGCTCTATGTTAAGGGGTGACTTCCAATTTCCAGTAAGTGGAGGACCATTTTTCATTAATATCTGTTTCAACTGAACGGGGTCGTGGAAATCATTTTTCTAATTACCTGTGGACCAGTTTAGTTGTTATAGTTGCTCAATTTTATATTGTATAAATTAATTTAATTTTTTTGAACATATTTTGCAAGAGGCAGGTTTCGAATCCTGCCCGAGGAGGGGGGAATGCACCAATGGCTATTGCCACTAGGCTTCAAGGACAGGTGCGTATAAATTAATTTAATAATTTTATATATTAAGTAAATGTCAATGAAAAAATAATTAATCAAAGTAAAAATACCTTTTTGGTACGTAAAGTTATGGATTCAACTCTAAATACGTGACAAAAAGTACAACACACTTTACCAGCAAACACCGACGATAAATAAAAAAAATTCTTAATAAAAATTATGCATAAAAAAATTAATTATCTTAAGTTATCTAGTTAAATTTTATAAAAAATTAAACTAAAATAATTAAATCCATTTACAAGAAGTATATTATTATATTTAAAAAGTAGAGAAGGTAACCTTGAGGATTAAATCTACTTATAAATAAATATTATTTTATAAATTAAATTTAAAATTTAAGTACTAAAATTAATATTTTAAAAAATTAAAATTTTTTAAACACATTAAACTAATACAATGATACACCTCTTTTTTTTTTTAACATGAGAAATTTTGAGAAATGAGAGATTTTTTTTAAAATTATTGGTAAAAATAAAATTTTCAATCAATTAAATCTAAATACTAAAACTTAAAGATGAATTATTAAACTGATACAATAATACACCAAGTAAGACTTAGTTCAATACAATGATACACCCTTAAAATCATTTAAAAGGAAAGTCTCAATGTGCCTTAAATCTAAGCCGATTACCATAACTGAACAAATAAATAAACAAAATAATAAAAGGAGGGGGATACAGAAAGGAAAACATACCCACATTTTCAAACTCACAAAAACCTCGGGGAGCCCCAAAACAATAATAATAAATCTATTTAAAGGAACAAATTAATGTCCTTCACCATCTGAGTCTATAATTGTGGGTCTTTGGGTTGAGGCGAAGCGTCAAATAGGATAAAGAAAATGGAAGAGCAGAGGAATGAAGGGCATAACATTCCGATGGTCATAGCAGTGAAACACCGTCAAAGCAGCAGTAGTAGTAGAGGCAGAGTAGCTGCGGAACTTGCCAATCACTTCAATTACTTCCTTGCTGACCACTATGACATCTACCCATTTCTTGAAAAATCTTCTGCCAAATTCCAAGACCTTGATGGTTTGTCCTTTGAAATTCTGTATAAAATGGCTTCAACCCAAGTGGATCTGAAGATCGGAGTTGTCCTCAATTACCCATTCATCAACCAGACCCACTTGGAACGATTGTCGGAGCTGTCCGGTCACGACATGATCTTGATTCAATGCAGATCCCCACAAGGAGAAGAGAATCAACCGCAGTTGGAAGAGTTAAATGTTGGTGGTGTTCGAAAACTCACTGTTGATCCCATGAATCTCTTCTTCCTGGAGGAACTGGTTTCTGCAATTCTTCCAGCTAAAAAAGAGAGGCATTTGCATGAATTTCTCTTCTTCAGGGATACCAAGAGCGAACAGAAACTCGTTTGCAAAAGCTGCAAAGAGCGCATCTCATCAGGGCCTAGCTATCAATGTGTTGAATGTGATGAGTACAGCTTCCATAAAAACTGTGCTGAGTCTTCAAACAATTTAGATCTTCGGAAAACAAACGATTCAGAGTATCTTCGGAGAAACAACCTTCCTAATCTTAGTGGAAGGGACCGACCTGATTATGATCGATTTCCTGAGAAGCAGAAGTGCGAGATATGTCAGGATATCAACCTTGAAATTTGTCACGATTGCTTGCTCGAAACCAACATTAAATGCAAATACCTGCCCATCATTCTCCATCATAAGATGCATGCACACCCTTTGAATCTCATCATCATGCCAATCTCATATGGTTACAAGTATGGATGCTGTGGTTGCAGTGAAATTGGCGAGTGTATCAGCTACAGATGTTTCGATTGCAACTTTAATCTTCATGTGAGTTGCTGCTTTTTACTAGAATCTGTCAAGCACAGAGCCCACCGACACAACATCGTCATCGCTAGTCAATTTCAAGGGGATTATGTTAGGGAAGAATACTTTTGTGATATTTGTAGGAAGGAGAGGAATCCAGAGCATTGGTCTTATGT